CACGTGTCCCCGGTCCAGACCTCAGGGGGTCACGTGTCCCCGGTCCAGACCTCAGGGGGTCACGTGTCCCCGGTCCAGACCTCAGGGGGTCACGTGTGCAGTGGAGCAATGAAGAGACGTCTTCGTCCACAAGACCAGCGCTGTTTTATTCTGCTCGCGCTCCTCACGTCTCTCCGTCTTCATCTGCTGACGTGTGGAGTCCACGATGTCTTCAAGCGCACTGGAAAAATCATCAAGACGTCTCTGGACATCCAGAACCAAAGACAGATGATGTCTAGTGGTCCACACAGTTTGGAACATCTGGAACATGTTCCCCTGGAGAAGAACTCTGACCCGGTAGCAGTAGCAGTACTACAGCGTGAAGGTCACATTTAAAGGCCGGTTCTTTAAGCTCCTTCCACTCAGCTTCCAGCAGAGATATGAAATAATCCGATAAGGATTAAAACTTAAACAGCTTCTCGACTTTTGATTCATCTAAACCGCTTTGTTTCCTTCTCACAGGAGAAAAGATCACAAGTGCAAATAGAATTTCAAAATATATTTATTACATTCAAGTTTCTCCCCATTCGATCACTTTTATTTAATAATAAAAAGGAGGCATTTAGACGGCCAAACGTCATCATTCATCTCCATCACGCTTTGCAGAAGAAGAGTGACTCCACGTGGAATAACAGCATCAGTCAGACCTCCATGAAGGCGTCGGTGGTGAAGTTCAGCCTGGTGTCTGGTGCCTTGTTCATGCAGACACATTGATTTGAGTAATTCGTTGTACACAAAGCAAGTGTTTTAAGAGGCGGATCTTTTTAACGCATTGACCGTCCATCCGGATCAGTGAGAGCAGGACTTTTATTGTGAAAGGTTGAGGATCATTTGTCTGCGACTTTGACACCAAAATGTATCTGATCACAAAAGTTTCATTTACAGATAAAAGACAAGTGTAACCACGGCAACAGAGACCCGTCGTCTGTGTAAAACATCCGTGTTGCAGTTTAAGACGCTGCAACAACGTCAGTGAGTCCACGACACCAGCTGTGTGTGTGTGTGTGTGTGTGTGTGTGTGTGTGTGTGTTTATTCTGCGATTCATGCCCAGTATGATCCGAAACAGCTCGCTAAACAGAACTTTGTCTCTGGTTTTACATCCAATCTTAAATATAGTGAAGAGAAAGGTTCTTAAGGCTCGCGTGCCTCCGTCTCCTCAAGGCAATGCGGTCATGATGACTCGCCCCTCCCGGATTTCAATCTGACAATATAAAATCTGCAACCGAAAAATATAATAGAGTGAATGTACTGACGAAGTCCTAAAGTACTGGTTGCTAATATGGTGGATTAGTTTAGACGTGCGCCTGGTGCGCTCGAACACAGCAAAACGGAGAGTTCTGTGATGTTACAATTACCTTGCATGTTTATTTTACATCCAAATATCATAAAACGGCAAAACTTTAACTGGGCCCATAAAATGGGCTGATCCGAGGTCAGCTGAGCCACAAAGCACATACAGCCCCCTAGTGGCACAGAGCAAAATTAAATGAAATAACACCAAATGTATATGGCTCCTACAGTGAATATCAAAATATATAAGTGAAGATTGAAAAATATATATTTTATTCAAAAAATATATAGAGTTGACTCAAAACTATATTCATCACGAAAATATTTTGAGTCCACTTATTTTTATTTTGAATACATTGTTGAATTTTAAATGTTTAACAAAACTTGAACTTTCAGGTTCACATTTGTTTTTCAAATGAACAAAACCGTTGACCTGGATTTGGCTCCATACTATCTTCTCTCCTCACTCTCCAAACTCTCTCTCTAAACTCTTAACTATATATAAAGTATACAAACTGTCAGGGGTGCGGGTGGAAGGCAGGACTCAAATGCAGACTTCTCCAAAACAAAAGACTTTAATAGTTACAAGATCCAAAAGGCCAAGGGGCAAAAACACAAAGGCATATAACTACAGCTATCCACAACAGGGGACAAGAACATGCGTGACGAAAGACAATGACGCGACCAAGTGACACAAGAGACACACGGCTTAAATACACAAGGGAGGTGCAGGTGATTGGACACAGGTGGAAACTATTAGACGATCACAGGGGATGACAGGACAAGGCAGGAAGTGAAGTTACCCGGGGACACGAGTGGCAGAAAACTACAAAATACAACAGGAAGTGAACCACACCGTGACAGATAGGATATTTTCTGCCTCCTTCCACAGTAGCAGAAGTGATCTCACTCGCGCTAACTGGTGGGACATTAATATCTACATTAACTATCCTAGTGAAGGCAGTGTCCTAACTGCTAGGAATGTCTTTTGGCCTGCTTTCTGCAGGGCCAGAGTGCCCTCGCTCAAGCTAACTCAGAAGCCTGCACTGACGAGTGGCCACATTTAACTCTCTAGGCTATGGGACATGTATAGCTCCTCTTCAGCCTGAAGGCTGATGACACAACAGGGTGGTGAGCCTTATCGGCATGTCCCCTTTCCACCTCATGCTTGCCCTCTCAGCTTTGCTGCAGCAGGCTACCTATTGCCGCTTCCAACGGCTGAAATGATTTCACTGCAGATATTGCCCTCATATCGAGGGAACTGGGACATCTGATGTCCACCCTGCTCCAGACTCTCCGCTGGGTTTGGCTGGCGCAGTCACCCCTGTCAGAGGCATATCGGACAATCCTCCGTAGTGTCCCCGTGGAAGCCTGACAATCTTTTTTCAGGTGCTAAACCAGGTGCCTCCGCGAAGTATAGTAGATAGCCGGGGCAGACAGCAGATCTGTTTATTCACAGGAACATGCCAGCGTATCTATGGGGTTCCACTTTGGCCCTCCTCAGCCCTCAGCTAACTCAAGTAACTGACACAAGTTGCCTGGACGCCAGCTTGTACCCATGCAACCCTACCATATGTTCCACAGAGGCAACCGCCGAACCTGGGGCCCAGTCTTTGTCAAAACCCTCAAGCAGGGTGGCCAAGAAATTAGGTCTCAGGGCCAGCCTTTGGTTATTTCTACCAGCAGCAGATTGGCTACTGGGTAGTTCATGCATCAGACCCCAGGGTTGTTTTTACCCTATCCCAAGGGTATAAGGTATAAGGTGAACACGAGGTGGAACCACCGTAGCCCTCCTCAGAGCACTACCACCGTTAGGGTGGCCCTGTGGGGCTGTCCATCGCCCCAGCGCATGTGGACGACTTTCCGACAGCCTCTCCCGTTCTAAGATGTAGACGGTTGTCTTACATCTTTTTCCGCCTATAGGGTGGACTGACAGCAGGCGACTCCAGGCTGCACAGCTTCCACTTGTATGCCAAGTCTCGGGACAATGGTAGCATCAAAACACTTATCCCCAGGAAGCCCCTGTGGCATTTTGCCTGTCACAGCAGATACCTGCCTCTGAAGGCAGCGCGCAGGAGTGTAGAACAGGACACTGCTTTGGACAACAGGAGCCTGCAAATGTTCAAGAGCTAGCGCTCAAGCATTTCCCACTATACCATGAGGGAAAGCAGGTGTTTGCCCGGTTGGACAACACCTTTGCTGTGTTGACGCCAATATCAGGGGGGGTGGCAACTGATTACGCTTACTTGGGCAGCCTTTGCCTAACCAGCCTTCGGGCAATAACCCAGCCAGGAGTGGCTACTGCATCCAGAGTTGATGTCGACCCACTGCCCCCACCGGTTCTCCCTGACAGAGGGGACCACCGCTCTGGGTCAAGATGTTCTGGCTCACACGTGGCCAGAGAATCCTCTTTGGGCCTTTGCCTCTGATCCGTTCTTTACGAACCTCTTGTTGCAACCGAAGGGCTGGGTTTGGCATCCCAATCCCTGACACCTTCAACTATGGACCTGGCCACAAGAAGACCCGACTGGGCGCTAGGTGGTTTCAAAATGGGAAAATATTCCCCACTTTCTCTCTTCATTGAACCCAACCAAGTGGATATCCTTATAACATTGCCGCCCAAACAGCGCCTCGCCACTGCAGACTATACTGGATCAATTTACCTACAAAATAATTGTTTTGCCGTCTCGGTGCAACTGGGTCCTAAATAAACTGATCGTAACACAAGGACCTGGGTGACTACGGTGGTTCAGGGGTCGGTCACAGGAGAGGATCCTTTTTACAATTAAAAGTATGTCATTAAATAATCATTTGAATTGTTTAAAGATGACAATCACTGAGTTAAAGGAGTCCAGTCCACAGAAGGAGGAAGTCAGTACATAACTTTGTATGGAACTACTTTTTTAAAGTAGATGAAAACAGGAAGCTTCTTTGTCTTGAGCAGAATCTGCGAGTCATCCACCGAGCAGAAGTCATCAACATCTGTTGGCGAAGCTGTCGTGGGGACGCTATCGCTGCTGGTTCCCACTGAAGGAGTTCCTCTTTGACATTAAAGACTCATCCAAGTCATTTACATCTTAATCACATCTTAAAGACGGATAATAAATAATTCTCTCCAGGCCGAAGTCAAGCATGAGTGTTTTTAACTGGTTGTACCAAGAGCTTAAACTAAAGACGATATTTTCTATTAGTCCCTTGATCACTTGGTGCGTATAGTGTTCATGGCCTGAATGGGTTGGTGAATCAAAGGTACATGAAAAGTTCCCTGGTGTACAGAAACGTGTCCATCACAATCTTTCCCCGAACCCAAATGGGGGTTCAACCGTCTGTGTCCTCTCACGTTGTACTAAACGCAAACGTCTTTCCCTTTGGGCCACTGAAACTCAGAAAAGCACCGTGAGACGAAGGCGCTCGGTCTCCATCGAGGAATAAGGCTGAGCTTTGTTTTTCAAATGTAGAAAAGGTGTTTATGCTGAGAGGTCTGTTTGATACAAGCGTCCCTGGTGTGGAAAGTACAGATGTCTTGTTTCAGTTAAACATTTGATGACCTGCAGGTCCTCCATGTGAGTGCACGTGAGACCGCCGTGCGCGCCCCACCTTCATGACTTTACAAATTAAGACGTGCCAACGTTTTCGCATCTTCCTCTTCCTGCTTTGTGAAACACATGTTCAAATAAGGGCACGAGGAGAGGCGAGCGCTTCGTCCGATGTCCTTCCTGTCGGCTGAAAAGACGAGTTAAACTGCGGCAGCCACTTCCCCTCAAGCCGTGAGAAGAGAGCGGTCCTCAGAGCATCAGACGTCCCTTCACACTATCGCAGGTACATGAAAACACAACGATTAATGACCTTTTATGAGTAAAGAGGAAATTTGTTTTTATTATTATTTTAGTTTTTCTCTCCCTGAATATTAAATAGTTGTTGTGTTCTTAAAGCTGGTTGCTGCTCTGTGTGTGTGTGTCCTCTCTGCAGGGAACCAGCACAGCCTCCCTCAGAGGTAAAGGTGAGTTTAATCATCTCAGAAGCCGCCGTGAAGATGGTGAACATCTGAACACGGCCAGCGTGTTCTTCTTTAGTTTAGCTTTTTTAAAGCCGTTGTTCACTATGTGCTGTGTGTCACTGAAGCAGAGTGCGTCCACATGGCCGGCCTGCGCTGGGTGGTCGTGGCGCTGACCTTCGTCCTGTCAGCTGGAGGCGGTTCGGCTGCTGTGGACCAGAACTGGCTCACAAGTATCATCGACGGCATCAAGAAGGAGTAAGTGCACAAATCTTAATAAATGTGAGGCAACAATTTGCACTCGGTTTGTTCGTTTTACAACTTGGATACACTAACAGAAATTAGGTAAAGTCTATCTCATATTTATCAACACTAAATACAACTGATTACATACAAAAAGTAGGTAATATTAACTCTAGATAATAATTGCGATTAAAAACTGCTATTATATAAATTAAATATACTTAGTAAACATTACTATAAGGTTTTAAGCTTTACTTTAAATATATATTTTAATACACTTGTACTTAGGGTTACAATACAATGTGCAATGATAGAATGTAAACGATTTGCATTGGTTATAATTACTGTTAAATTTAGAAGACGAAGAAGAAGCCTTTTTATGGTCATTCATATTGTTCTGTGCATTTAACACATCCCACAATGTCTTGTTCACTGAGACTTCGACATGGAGCAGCCGGTGTTCGAACCGCCAACCCTGCGGTTCCCGGTGCTTCCTCTCCATGCGCCGCGCTCGGCCGGTACACGGTGTATTCTGTGCATCGGAGGCACGATTCATTCATTAAATATCTAGTCACAGAATATTCTGTTCGTTTTGTCTAATTTAATTTGATTCACGTATTAAACTCTGTTTATTTACTTAATAATTAATTCACCTTCACACCCTTCCTTTTTCTACCGAATTGACTGTCAGGACATAGTAGGACATCTGACATCATTAATAATAAATAGATCCAACTTTTTAAAGTTTCTTAAAACAGTTTTTCATCAGTATGTAATTCACTTTATACGCGTATACCACAAACGTTTTGCATCTTAAAAAGATCATATTTGAAATGTGCGCGTCGCATTGTCTTTTTAATTCACTTGCATTTTATTTCTTAACATATTTGATGAGCTGGTACTCGGTCTAATTAAATGTATTCTTTCCTCGGGCAGGTACGCGCTCCGCGGCGCCTTCAGCCTGGCTGTGAGCGTCCAGCAGGACCAGGACGTGAACGACCTCCAGCAGATCTTCCAGGACGACCCGGCGGACCGAGTGACAGAAGGCGTCTCCGGCGGTGACGTGTACCGGGGCGCCCGGGTGGTGGCGGCCGGCCGATCGGCGGCGCTGTCGCGGGTGCTCGATGACGTCCAGACCCTCGCGAGCAGCAGCCGGGGCGGTTTCCTCGTCATCTACTCCGACCGCTCCCCGTGTGATCCCGCAGACCCGAGCGGCCTCGCCGGCAAGGTCGACGTGGTGCGCCGGTGGTCCGGTTACGCCTTCGTGTTTTCCGAAGCCGACCGCGCCGCCGGATCCCTCCAGTGCCCCGCGGTCTCTAAACTGGGGCTCGACAACATCTTCCGCTGCTACGAACCCGCAGGCGACGCGTTGCGCTGCGACAGCTGCGCAGAGGGCGCAGAGGGCTCGTGCGCGCAGAACCAGGCCTCGTCCGCGGGAGGCGAGGTGGCGGGTCCGCGCTCGCTGACGGGTACCGACGACGAGGCGGCATCGGGTGGGGAAGTGGGTGGAGGTGGAGGCCCAGACGACGCCGTGGCCTCGCCTGAAGGATCCGACAGAGGAAGGAAGGAAGGAAAGGTTGCGAAGCAATGCAAGCGTAAAGGATGCGACAAGCGTAAGAAAGGCGGCGTGAGTAGGAAGACCCGCAAAGGGAGGAGAGGCGCGGCGCGCGGGGAGCCTCCACGAGGCCGCAAAGGTAAAGGAGGGCGGGGGGGTAGGAACGAGGTTAAGCTGTAGATGAGCAGGTGCAGAGCCAGGGGCAGGAAGCAGCAGCAAGCGCAAGGTCAGGACCATGAGCAAGGAGCAAGGTGCAGCAGCAGAGCTAGAAGCAGGAGCAAGGGCAGGAGCATGAGCAGGAGCAAGCGCAGGAGCAGGAGCAGGAGCAAGAGCAAGGGCAGGAGCAGGGGCAGGAGCAAGGGCAGGAGCAGGAGCAAGGGCAAGAGCAGGAGCAGGAGCAGGAGCCAGGGCAGGAGCAGGAGCAGGAGCAGGAGCAGGAGCAAGGGCAAGAGCAGGAGCAGGAGCAGGAGCAGGAGCAAGGGCAGGAGCAAGCGATGGGGGTGGCTGGAGTGATGCAGGCTACCGCGTAAGAACCCCACGAAGCTTCCTGAGACAAACCTGCAGCGCTTTCTCAAGCCTTCAATAGATTTAGCGGCCTATTCGAGCCCTTGCGGCGCCTCTCTGCTGCCATTTCAAAAGTATATGGAGTTATTTTCAACCTTAAACTAGTTAAACTCAATTAGAAAAAAGCAATTGGGGGTGAATACAGTATAAACTATAACGGTCCAATTAACAGGTTGACGTTGATCCACATGAGCCCATTTTCCGATCCTTTGTAGTCAAATATAGAGGCTGGATAGTCAAGAATACACTGTAAAAAATGTCACTGCAAATTAAGGTATTTTACTGGCAGCAAGGACGCCAGGAATTTACTGCTATTTTACGGTATAATACCGTAAATTGTTTTTACATTATGTTACCATAAAATGGATTACCGTATGTTACCGTAAACTTGAACCAACTTTACTGTAAATTAACTGCAATTTACTGGCAGTCGACGCTAGTAACTTACTGTTTTATTTACAGTGCCCTACCGTAATATACGGTATGTTGTCGTATATTGGATTACAGTTTGTAACCATACAATTACTGTTTTTGTGTTATAAATACCAGAATGTTACCGTTTACTTATAACCGTATACTTTTGCATTTAATTCTCCACAAATTAAAGAAAGACAACCAAACTCCAAAGTTTATTAGATGCCTTTAAGACAAAAATGTTAGGCATTTGTAACCAAGAACAAAACATAAAATATGCAGCATGTATACAATAATAAAAAAATGAATCATAAAATCATTAGGAACAAGGTAAACTAACTGCACCAATACGCTATGGAACACTTTCAATAGACCGCAGCAAACGGCTGGCGTCCTTAATCCAGAGCCTCTGTAAAACAAACCAAAATAAAATATTTAGAAACACTGTCATTGACACTTACCAACGTTACTTGGAGACACGAGGCAATGAGAAACTCCTCCCATGTTGAACTGCACTGGTGTTCTGGATGAACTGAGATACACGTCTGACGTCACGTTCAGGAGCAGTCGGTCACGATTAACACTCAAATGACTTTTAAGCAATGAACACTTTGAATAATACAAATATTTATAATCTTTACATTCCAGCCACTAAAACGACAGCGAAGGTGGCGCATGCGATAGGGAGGGTGTGCTGCGCAGCACAAGGTCGCGGTTCGAATTATGTCAAACCATGGGCGTTTCAGATAAAGTGACAGCTGCATGTATAGTAATGTCCTGTAAGTCAAAGTCATCTCATTATGATGACTTACAGGACCTGTTTTTCAGTGGCTGTCGTGGGCTTCCATACATTAACCTACAACAGATGTAGATGGATTGTGATTCACTGCACTTGTATGTGTATTTCCACCACTTCAGAAAATATATGTAACATGCAGTTGAATTACGGTAGTCTGCTATTGTAAATTTACATCATTAACTGTTTATTCAAAACATTGGCCGTTAATTTACAAGCAAGGGATGTAAATTTAACTGTATGTTACAGTTATTATGACATACTGTAAGATACCGTTAGAAATGCAGCGTAAATTTACAGCAATTTGTTACAGGGCAAATATGGGGTGAGATGCTTTGTCATTGCGTTGAATCTACCGTATTTTCCGCACTATAAGGCGCACCTTCAATGAATGACCTATTTTAGAACATTTTTCATATGTAGGGCGCACCGGATTATTCTCTGACGCGCCCTGAAACAAGCTCCATATCTCACGTGTACAACCAGTATGGATCAACCAGTTAACCAATTGTAATTGTACCAAAAATACGGTAGTCGTGACGTCATTGCCTCAGTGTTGATGACTAATGCTCTGATATACTGTAAGTCGCTGTACTTCTTTTTTGCTTCTCTGATTAAAGCTCGTCTCAGCATCGACTGGTGTCCGTCATTTGGGAATCTACATGTAAGAATAGAAGAGAGCCCTATACTGGTAATGTGTAAGACAACATCTAATTGACTGCTGGGACACATTTAAGGGAGGGGGTCATTTTAATTGGGCCAGTAGATGTGTGTCTGTAGATGAAGTGCTGAAGTGAACACAATGTAAATTTAAGTTAAGGCTTAAGAATGACAGGACACTCACAGTGTTGATCTCCTTTTGGCTGATCACAACATTCATCCCTCCCGTCAAAAGGGCTGAAAACAAAGAAAGCCGTCCAGAGGATGATCTTCATCTGCATTAAAAACACAAATTGATGTTTTATTTATTTATTTATCAACTGTGTGTTTAGCATTAGATAAACAAATATTTACCTTATTCGTCATTGTTTGTAGCAAAGTTATAGAGTGACCATTAAAGTATTCAGTATGAAAATTTAAAATGCTCATTATATACCAAAAAAATGAATCAAATAAATACATTTTATTTAATTTTTAATTCATTTAAAAAAATGAAGAGGAGTCTTTTCTAAACACACACAGGTCCCTTCATCCACACAAGCACATCACGACATCTGGAGGGAGTTTTCAGTTTACAGGAAGTAGATGAAAAACTTAATATTTAGTTTGAAAACCCACCCTGTTCTAATGTTGATTTTTCAATGGCGCACATCACATGAAGCTTAATCTATTAAGTCACTGCGTCCCTCGAACAGGGGCTCAAAGTACACTGACACTTCAACAAAAAACAATGCAAAATTAGGGTGTTTTCCTTTTTCCCGTTCACCTACTTTTCATTCACACACTGCACGACTTTGGTCAAACAATTTTAAGCACCAAAATAATTCATGCGCATAAGTAAAGGTGTGTTTTCACGAGAGATTTGAAGAATTCCAAAGTGAGAGTGAGATTGTTCTTCAACACATGGGCATCATCATATATGCACTTGTCTTTTAAAGCTGACATTAAGATGTGTAAAATTGAGAAAATGGCCTCAAGAAACAAACTACAAAGAAGTAAACGCCGTGAAAGTCCAAAATAACGTCACCCTGCTCCAATTCTTCCAGTATGAGAGATAAAGATTCTGCTTTAGTTATATTAAATTATTTATTTAAACACATATTTGCCTGATTGCACGGATCCAATAACAAAACCAGGGGGGAAGAGTCTTTTCTCTGGAAATCGTATGTAAAAAAAGGCAGAACTACGACTCCCACAATGCTGTGTGGCGACGTCCTCTCGTCACATGACGCATTCCGCCGTCACGTGACTTCACCGAGTGGCCAACAATGGCGGAGGTGGACGCGGCGAAGTCCCTGATGGGCTTGTTGAACGGAATCACTCAAAAGCTTACTACGACAGGAG